ATTGCAGTGGGTTTTGTCATACATTGAAATGAATTAGCCATGGATTTACATGTATTCCCCATCCCGGTCCCCCCTCCCACCTCCCTCTCCACCCGATCCCTCTGGGTCTTCCCAGTGCACCAGGCCCGAGCACTTGTCTCATGCACCCAACCTGGGCTGGTGATCTGTTTCACCCTAGATAATATACGTGTTTCGATGCTGTTCTCTTGAAACATCCCACCCTCGCCTTCTCCCAGAGTCCACAAGTCTGTTCTATACATCTGAGTCTCTTTTTCTGTTTTGCATATAGGGTTATCGTTACCATCTTTCTAAATTCCATATATATGTGTTAGTATACTGTAATGGTCTTTATCTTTCTGGCTTACTTCGCTCTGTATAATGGGCTCCAGTTTCATCCATCTCATTAGAACTGATTCAAATGAATTCTTTTTAATGGCTGAGTAATATTCCATGGTGTATATGTACCACAGCTTCCTCATCCATTCGTCTGCTGATGGGCATCTAGGTTGCTTCCATGTCCTGGCTATTATAAACAGTGCTGCGATGAACATTGGGGTGCACGTGTCTCTTTCAGATCTGGTTTCCTCGGTGTGTATGCCCAGAAGTGGGATTGCTGGGTCATATGGCAGTTCTATTTCCAGCTTTTTAAGAAATCTCCACACTGTTTTCCATAGTGGCTGTACTAATTTGCATTCCCACCAACAGTGTAAGAGGGTTCCCTTTTCTCCACACCCTCTCCAGCATTTATTGCTTGTAGACTTTTGGATAGCAGCCATTCTGACTGGCGTGTAATGGTACCTCATTGTGGTTTTGATTTGCATTTCTCTGATAATGAGTGATGTTGAGCATCTTTTCATGTGTTTGTTAGCCATCTGTATGTCTTCTTTGGAGAAATGTCTGTTTAGGACTTTTCCCTATTTTTTGATTGGGTTGTTTGTTTTTCTGCTGATGAGTTGTATGAGCTGCTTATATATTTTGGAAATTAATCCTTTGTCAGTTGTTTCATTTGATATTATTTTCTCCCATTCTGAGGGCTATCTTTTCACCTTGCTTATAGCTTCCTTTGCTGTGCAAAAGCTTTTAAGTTTAATCAGGTCCCACTTGTTTACATTTGTTTTTCTTTCCCTTACTCTAGGAGGTGGGTCATAGATGATCTTGCTTTGATTTATGTCATCGAGTGTTCTGTGTTTTCCTCTAAGAGTTTTATAGTTTCTGGTCTTACATTTAGGTCCTTAATCCACTTTGAGTTTATCTTTGTCTATGGCATTAGGAGTTGTTCTAATTTCATTTTTTTACATGTAGCTGTCCAGTTTTCCCATCACCCCTTATTGAAGAGGCTGTCTTTGCTCCATTGTATATTCTTGCCTCCTTTGTTAAAAAGAGGGTACCCATAGGTGCGTGGGTTTGTCTCTTGGTTCTCTGTCTTGTTCCATTGGTCTGCATTTCTGTTTTTGTGCCAGCACCATACTGTCTTGATGCCTGCAGCTTTGTAGTGTAATCTGAAGTCAGGAAGATTGCCTCCTCCAGCTCCATTCTTCTTTCTCAAGACTGCTTTGGCTGTTCAGGGTCTTTTGTGTTTCCATATGAACTGTGAAATTTTTGTTCTAGTTCTGTGAAAAATGCCATTGGTAATATGATAGGGCTCACATTGAATCTGTAGATTGCCTTTGGTAGTATAGTCATTTTCACAATATTGATTCTTCCTTCCCAGGAACATAGAATATCTCTGCATCTGTTTATGTCATCTTTGATTTCTTTCATGAGTGTCTTACAATTTTCCAGGTACAGGTCTTTTGTCTCCTTAAGTAGGTTTATTCCTAGATATTTTATTCTTTTTGTTGCAATGGTGTATGGGATTGATTCCTTAATTTCTCTTTCTGATTTTTCATTGTTAGTATTTAGAAATGCAAGTGCTTTCTGTGTATTGATCTTATATCCTGCAACTTTGCTGAATTTACCGGTTAGCTCTAGTAATTTTCTAATAGTTTCTTCTGGATTTTCTATGTATACTATCTTGTCATTTGCAAACAGTGAGGGTTTTACTTCTTTTCCGATCTGTATTCCTTTTATTTCTTTTTATTCTCTAATTGGCATAGCGAGGACTTTGAAAACTGTTGAGTAATAGTGGTTGTGGACACCCTTTTCTTGTTCCTAATCTTAGAGGGAATGAAGTATATGGTATTTTATAAGGAAATGTCCCTGTCTATATTAGAGTACTACTTAGAGTATTATTAATAAGTAAAACTCCAAGTATTATTCTAATTGTATATAAAATGCACATACATGCTTGAGAGAAAAGTCTGGGGAAATACGTTGAGATGTTGATGGGGGTGTTGGGTTGCAAGTGACTTGACTTTTTCTTTATTTTTTTCTCATTTCCCAATCTCTGTATGTTACTTAATAAAATAATTTTTTTCACTTTTTTGTTTTTAAACATCTATAAATAGGGGACTGAAGAGACCTGGTTTAAGAACTAAAATACCAAAAAGTTGTGGAGATATATTATTACTTATTTAGCTTACAATTAATATGGCTTTCCCAAAAGTACATTTTCAGTTTTTATTAACAAAAATTAGTCCAAAATGAAGAAGATAGTAGTTCACTTATTTCCAGTTCTAGGTACTGCACCTTTGAGTTTAAACTTGAGTTTTTCAAATGAACAGCTGTTTTACACCATATATCAAGCAAAGAATTGATTTCTTTTCTGGAGAAGACTTGGGAATTATATTTAAAATAGTGTCAAATGGAAAAGAAATTCTGTGTTCCTTTAAAGAAATGGTCTAGATTTATGTTTGATTGAAGAAAGATACACAGAAACAAATTTTAGTAAAGACAGTTCTATAATTAGATAGTCTCACTCTACCACCCCTACCAAATAATATCCTGACTCTGGTAGAAGAAAAATATTACAGTATTAAGCTGTTAAACAGAAATTTCAGACTTTCCTGCAGGACCCTAGATTCCAATAAATAAGCCTTAAGAACTCTGTAAATATTTACAAGATATTTCAAAAGCTAAATCCCAATAATTGAACTAAGTGATTTTAAAATAGACTCAAATGTTCCAAATACCAAATTTTGACACTTTGGAAATCAATAACATGTTCCTGATACACTGCTTAGTTGACTTGTTGCAGACCTGTGAATTGAGTTTTTGCCTACTTCCTTGCTTTTTTCTGAGTTCAAAGCCAGTTATTTACCACTTGTATCTGTGTGTCTGTGTGAATCAGGGTTTTTATTAATACTTTGTAACCAAAACAGAATAGAGAAATAAACTGGATACTGACACTGATAGAAGACTATAATTATCATCTATACCCTCTGAATTCAAATTTTTATAAACATCAAAACAGATTCATCATTTTCAATGATTGATTTATTCAGATATAATACTGCTTTTATCTATTTTATATATAATAATCCTACCAAGAGTTGTTTGAGAAAGAAATTCTACTGCTTAAAGACACTTTTAAAAGTCCTGATATTGAGGATGACCCATTATATCTGTAAAACTTATTTTGTATCTGCCTGCTTCTCTTTATTTCTCTTGCCTTACCCCAAGGCACCATTATCAGTCATCCAAACAACCTGAGAAACTTTCTAATTCGTCTCACAGTTCCCAAATTTGGCTCCTATAATCATTGTCTATAGTGGAGGTGCAGTGATCTTAAAAAATATAAATCAAATGATATCATATCCTTGCTTAGAATCTACTTTAGTCACTTCTCTTCCTCTTAATCTCCAACATCATTTCATACCCTTCCATTCTTTTCTAACCCATAAATATACAAAGTTCTTTGCTAGCCCAGAACCTCTCACTTCCTTCTCTATCTGGAATGCTCTTAATTCCATTCTTCACCTTGGTAATTTCTCATCATTCATATTCCAGTTTAAATATCACCTCTTTAGAGGGTGGAAACTCCACTCCTTTAATCACTCTGGCTTGGGAGTAGGCACATGACTCGACCTTTTATTCTTCTCAGGCCATCTGAGACATTCAGACTTGAAGTCAGGAGAGTATTATTTCGTTTAGCACAGGGTCCTGCAACATAATACAGTCTTAGTATTTTTGAGGGAATGTGTGCACGCTTCACTTTCAAAGCTAGGAGGCAGATGGGGTAGGGCTCCTTTATAAAAGTAGAGATGTCTTTTCTCCTCTTAAAACCTAGTGAAAGGCAGACAGTATATTTAGTAGGTTTTGGCTGTTTATAAATGCTTTACAAACTTAGTAAAACTAGACTAACAGAGGTTAAATGGCTTGACTAAAGTCATCCTGCTATTAAATGGCAGTGCTGGACTCAATTCTGTTAAATCCTACAGTACCTACTTTGGCACTAAGGAAAGCAAATACTGTTAGTACAGATGCACAAGCTATAATCCCAGGGAGAGCCATCCCTCATCTTATAGAATCACTCCTTCTGTTCACTTATATTCACTCAATGCCAACTTTCTAGTAGAAGCCAGATGGAAAAATTGGCTTTGCCTTAGCTGGGATAAGGGTGTGTCCCTGCATTTTCTTGACAGATTTCTTGGTGTGGTGAGAATAAAACTGCCAACAGGGTAGGTAGATTTTTTTCTCTTCTGTGTTTTTAACTTGCTGACTCAGTTAAGGTTGTGTTTACCTTTTTGAATACCAGAAAATCCCAACCGCCACTTAAAGAAATAGAAGAGTAATTTTCTCACACAGGAAGTCCAAAAATGGCAGTCCAGAATTAGTTCAGCTGCTTCTCCATTCCTAATGGGCTGCCTTTTGCCCTCCTGTCCCTTACCACGTGGGTAGAGATGGAGAAGGGTAAAGGAGTACACACACACACCATCTTTGCTAGGTGGCACTTCCAAGAAGGCTTCTACAGTAATCAGATTTTTTTCCTCTCATTGGCCAGAACCGTATCACAAGACCCCTTGCAGCTAGAAAATGACTAAGGAGGCAGTGAGTAGTGTCTGTATCTTGTGCTCTTCTCATACCTGATACCATAATATTAATGCATTGTGACCTTGTAGATTTACATTGGTGCAGAAGCATACGGTGGAATTTAATCAAGTGGCAATGGCTAATTCAGATGGATCCGAAGCTATGCTGAACAGAGTGATGACGAAAGATAATATCGGTGTCGCTGTGGTATTAGAGGTCCACAAAGAACTATTTGGAGCAGGTGAGTATGGTTTGAAATCTTCCTACTAAAAATAAACACCATCTCAAGTGCAGCGTGTCATGCTGGTATTTATTGCATGGTTATTTTCTCATCTTTTGAGGAAAGTTAAACAAGATGGGCAGGAAAATAGTCCTGATTTGTCATTTATGTCTTGGGATATTACTTGCCAGGTACTCTGTTAAAAGGAAAGTCTTTAATATGCCATTAATTTCAAAAGGTTATTTGAAATAAGAATTGTTTTAAGCTGAATTTGGAAATTATGATGACTTTTTAGCTGTATTTTTAGCTTCTTGACTATGAAATCTTTTGTCTTTAAGGTTAAGTACTTGGCACGTTTTCTTTTAATTTCTTTGTTATATCTCAGTCATTGTCAGGGTAAGAGCAGGATCTTTTATCTACCTGGTACTTTTCTTTTCCATTTTAGATATTTATAGCTTCCTTCAAAGTCAGAAACTCATTATGTACTTTGCATATCCAGACTTTTTCCCTCCCCTTCCTACTGCCTGCCTTTGAGCATTTCATTGCTTACCTAACTATATTTCAGGTAAAAGCAGGGAGAACGTGTCAAGACCCCATCAGGGCTTTTATTTTAAATGTTTTTCTTTACTTACTACCTGTAGAAGAAAAGATTTTTGCCTTAAGTATTGATTTGAATTATTCAGGCCATGCATATTTGTCATACCTCCTTTTCTCACTGTTCTTCAGTTTATCTGTCATCAAAGATGATCAATCTTTGATATATGATTTAAAATTCCTTCTTCTTTTTTAGCCTCTTATTTGTACTTACTTTTATGTCCTTTCTAGTCTCATTCTTCTCAAAAGCTTGGTACCTTTTTTTCTGGTAATGTGAACATTGAATTTCTTTTGGCGTTTTACTCTCCTTTTAATCTGTAGAAGAGTAATTGTAAATTATACAGTTGACACTTTCATATTATGAAATATCTCTCATACTCCTAGAGGGGGAATTTAATATTATAGAAGGTGCTTATGGCCTCTTTAAAGGGGCAAGTTTTTAATATTTAATATAGTGAATGTTTAATCTACAGCAAAAAATGACACTGTAAAACTTCTAGGAAAAGACGATAGCTTAGAGAATTTGGGCTGCAGTTTTTTGTCTTATGACCAAATTGCTTTAAAATGACTGTTTCTATCACATATAAAAGATACTTCAGTTACTTGTTTACTCAACATTAAAGATAATTATAGCTTGGTAAGATGGAAACTTAACTTTACCAAAATAATAGACTGAGAAAATCCAGTCTTTCTGCAGAGTTTATATTTTCAATAGAAAAAATTTTAACAAATCGTTATAGAAATTTCAATAGAAAAGTTAATTTTGTATGTATCTAGTAGTCCAACAGTACCAAAGTATATAGAGTAAAACATGATAGTCCCATTTTATTCATACATTCTAGGAGTAACTCTTACTCATTAATTACACATTACTAGTGTATATGTGTATACTTTTTATTTAAATGGCATTACACCATGCATATTGGTTTCCCTTGTGGCTCAGCTGGTAATGAATCTACCTGCCAGTGCAGGAAACATAAGAGACGTGGGTTCAGTGTCTGGGTTGGAAAGATCCCCTGGAGAGGGAAATGGCAACTTGCTCCACTGTTCTTGCCTGGAAAATTCCATGGACAGAGGAGTCTGGTGGGTGACGGTACACGGGGTTGCAAAGAGTCAGACCCACTGAGTGTGCACACACACACCCCATGCATGTTGAGTGTTGTGCCTTAAAAATTTATGGATATCTTTCTCTGTCAGTATATCTTAACTGAGTTGAATTTTCAGTTTTTCTCTCCAAACATGCTTATAACCTCTTTTAGGGGGCAAATTTTTAATGTGTTATCCTCGCCCACCATGTTAATATTTATTTTGGCAGAATTATAAAACAGTATTTTAGGGGGAAAAATAACCTCAGAAATTTAGTAGTTGAATACCTCATTGTCCAAATGAGCCTGAATACCAGAACAGTTATTAGTAATAAAGGTTAGTAATTAGTAACAAAGCCATATCTGAAAGCCATGCCAGACTTTGAGAGCATACTTCCTAACTCTCATTTTTAAAATTACTTCTTCTGAGTGTATGGTATGAAGATTTTGGTAGCAAATTCATAGCAAATTCACTTCCTTACTTTATTTTGTATAGATTAATATCATGTTCTTGCATTTAACTACTGATCTTGTCACTGATGTGCTCAGAAAATGCAAAGTAAATGAGTACTGGGCAGTGGGAAGGATTTAAATTAAGGTTTAAGTGATTCAAATAACTAAAATCCTACTTCACTAGGTTATTGTGATATTTACGTGACAGATATTTAAACTACTTGTTTACACTAAACTCAGCAAATCAAGGTACTATAATCAAATATTGGTTATATCATAGGATAGATCCTAACTTGGATAGAGAGAAGGAGTTGGCAAACTTTTTCTGTGAAGGACCAGGTAGTTCATTAATAGTTTAGGTTCTGTGGGACACATACGGTCTCTATCACAGCCTTCTTTTGTAGAACCCTTTAAAAATGTAAAACCAGCATCAGCTCACACAGATTGTACAAACACAGGTGATGGGCCATGGGCTGCAGATTGTTAACCCCCATGTTGGGATTATCAGAATCTCAGCACATTATCTTCTAAGAACTGCTTTATGAGTTAAAGGGGAGAAATAGAAATTAATGGAAAAGAGTAAAGAAGTGATTATAGGTTTGGGGGAAAAGCTCTTTTAAGATACTGCTTTTTTGATAATAAAGTATAATCTTAACCTTTGTTTCCCAAATGCTTAAATTTAGGTATGAAGCCTATTCATGCTGCAGACAAACAGCTGCTTATAGTGGCAAATGCCCACATGCATTGGGACCCAGAGTATTCTGATGTGAAACTCATTCAGACCATGATGTTTGTCTCAGAGGTTAAAAACATTCTGGAGAAAGCCTCAAGTAGGCCTGGCAGCCCAACCGCAGATCCTAATTCCATCCCGCTGGTGCTATGTGCAGATCTTAACTCATTGCCAGATTCAGGTATTGATAACATGATTTACTCTTTGTGTTCAACTTTGCTTTTACTTCTAGTTGAAAGGTCAGCTGGCTGTTAACTTTTGAGCAGAGAATTTCTCTTCTAAATTCAAGAGTGTATCTGTAAGAATCCTAGGAATAGGACATGGGGTAATTGAGAAGAGTTTATTCAGCTAAGCTATTTCCAAAGGTTAAGGGACACAAAACAATGAATGACACAGTACCCTTCTCCTGGGGGAATTAGGGAAAGGGCTGGGAGCTGCTATCAGAACTTGGAAACAGTAGTTATGAGGAGAGGGCCATGTAATAGGAGCTGCGGATTTGAACTGGAATACAGTCAGTCCCTGGCAAACCAACAAGGGAGCCAGGGGAGTATATATCTTAGTCTGTCTCTGCTTCTGTCCTCTGATCTCTCACCACTGCTGTCCACTGACCAGATCCAACAGGGTGGGAAGGGGTTTGCAGTTGATGTAAGTCAAGGTCAGCCTCCTGTGTCAGAGAGTGCAGTGGAGAAGGGTGACCTGAGAGGCAACTAGAAAATATTCAGCACATATAGTTATCTAGTTTAATAATGTTGGTAACCTTTAAGGGAGTTCATTAAAATCCTTTAATTCTGATATTAAGTGGTAGAAGAATGATCAGAATTATCTTAGGATTTCACATTACATCTTGAGCTCCTTTTAACCTCTTTATGTCCTAACTTAAATTACTTTAGATCTTTGTTGAAAAGAATCAGTTCTGCACTTAGATATTAAAATTCAAATGTAAAACATTATTGTTGTTTTGCTGTTACCAAAGCATATTCTAAATTTTGTATATTTTTGGTAAGCTACTTTAAATTGTTTAAAACAACCACTCAATAGTAAATGTAAAATAACCCAAATACTTACAACTGTAATATAAATAAAAGTCTCACATGTAGAAAATACCTTTGCCTTCTCTCCTTAGCAAATAAATGCCGAAATCATCCTTTCACAAAGGTTTGTTTTCAGCTCCTGGCTCCTTTGACTCCTTAACCATGTCCTCCTATTTGAGTGCATTGCCCTCTAGCACAAATTTCTCCAATCTCATTTGACTATCATTTGGCATCATAGCATAGTGAGTTGGCTCAAGCCAGACTCTCAGGGCTGGATCCTGGTTCTCCCTCTTAGGAGGTATGCAATCTATGACTTAAGTTCCTCATTTTTAAATAAAGGGATGATCATTTTATCCACTTCATGGAGTTGTTTGTGAAGTTTAACTGTGTAGGGCTCTTGCAACAGTGCCTGGCGTCTAATAACTGCTAGATAAATGATAGCCCCTTTTCAGCTATTCACAGTACTATTGTTGTGCTCATCATTTTTTCTTTATGTGTGTTACTGCCTTTCCTGACTCATGAATAGAAAGAGATGTGTGATAGCGTTAACTAATCATCATCATCAGAAAGATTGCAGTATTTTTTTTCCATGTGGAAGTGGTATACTTTTTTTGAATGCTTCTACTCTTTAGCTCTTTAGACACGTCCAATGTTTTTGACCAAATGATCTACCTCCAGCATATAATGTCTTATTTAGTGTGACTGAAAAGTCTCACTGTAGCCTGAAACAAAGATCGATGTTGCCTTCCTGAAGCTAGACATTGCAGTGTTGAAGATGCAAAATCTATTTTTGTTGTGAATGATTTAAAAATATTTATAATATAGTCCAGAAATTTTTAACTGACTGGATAGAATGGTGAAATACTAAAGAGAGGTTGCTTTGGAATAATATTCTACAAACATATAGGGTCAAGACTTTACTAGTGGATGCTACCCTAGACCCTGGGAATCATCTTCATCTTGAAGAGCCATTAAGAAAACTGAAGATGTTCCAGGGTGATCCAGATATTTTTCTCTGAAATAGGCAAATAAATACCCTTCAGTTTGATTAAACCATATGAAATTGCTGATATTTGATTTCTTAACATTAACCTAAAGAAGGCAATTTCGTAAGTAAAGATAAATGCTCAGTGTAATAAATCCACTCTGAACTTGGGTACATGTACTTGGCAGCAGATTCTGGCTGTGAGGTCTTCTTTAAGGTCTAAATGCTAAATGGTAGTGTTTCTTCTTTCTTTATTCTGCCAGGTGTTGTGGAATATTTAAGCAATGGAGGAGTAGCTGACAACCACAAAGACTTCAAGGAACTAAGGTACAATGAGTGTCTTATGAACTTCAGCTGCAATGGGAAGAATGGAAGCTCAGAAGGGAGAATCACACATGGCTTCCAACTGAAGAGCGCCTATGAAAATAACTTGATGCCTTACACCAATTACACCTTTGATTTCAAAGTGAGTGAAGCCTCTGGGCTGGCATAGAAATTATGTGCACCTAAATATGTAAGGAGGTTTGTTAGGTTTTGTGGTTGTTATTGTGGAACTGAGAATTCTCTTTAAAAACTCATTTCCTCAAATTTCAAATAACCATGATAATAGCAGAAATGTCCGAAATACTGTGTATGTGCCAGATACTGTTCAAAAGCACTTTGTGTTTATTAATATAAACAGAGTTAATCCTCACTTGTCCATACCATCCCTGACTTTCAGTAAGGATCCAAATAGTAAGCAACTTGATAAAGCTAAACTCATCTTGAATAAATTGTAGAGTATTCCCTCAAAATTTTCTTAGTTCTTTCCATTGATATTTATTTTAGAATTTTCCAGGTTTTTTTGGGGGCGATGTGGTTAGAAAGATTGTACTTAGGATTTATTTTATATCCACATTCTCATACTAGTAAATTACCAGGCAGTGGACCACCACTCTAGCTTAGTAAAAGAAAAAGAAACATTTTTTTGCAAAATAAGAAAAAGAATTAAGAGGATCAGCTTTATAGGATCAGCTGTTCTTTTGAAACATTGATTGATAGTGGTTTTTCTGTGGTTAATCCCTTTCCCTTTGCAAATTTTCTGATCATTCTGTCTGTCTGTAGCTTTTCTCTTGAACCTTTATTTGACTTTCTGGCATTTCAGGAATCTATCCTAAAGTCTTATACTATCCTGAAAATGCAGATGTTGGAAAGTAGTTAGGAATAGTAAAAATAGTTAGGAATAGTAAGAAGCCTAAAGGGAATTTAATAAAACACCAAAGGAAGTTTATGAATTGGGCTCTGCCACATCTCTAGTAGCCTTTTTCCATTTTCAGTGCTTGTTAGCCTGTTTCCAAGAAACAGATAGTAGGAAGAAAACAGGAAATTTATGTGCTGATGTTATTCATCAGTTTTTGTAATCGAGAAATGGAAACAAACTGTTTATAGGTTGAATCTAATTTTAGTATTTTAACTGTTTGAGTAGGTAATACTATGCAGAGATAATTTATTTTGTTCAGATCACTCATATGCAATAATGTGCTGATGAATATTTAATAACCAGCTTTCTGAGAAAAAAGAAACCCAAATTTGTAGTGTTTGCAAATTTCTGTGGTACAGGTACTCTCATTGTAGTACATTTCAAGCTCCCAACATCATACCATTGAACACTTGAGTTGGGATGAAGTGTCCAGCTGACTCTGTCAATCCGCTGCTCCTGTGTAAGCTTAAAGGAAAACCTCTGAACTTAATGATACACAGTTAAATATGTAGGTTAAATCCTATACAGTAGTATATAATACATCTCTGCCAGCACAGTCCAGAAAACCTACAAAAAGGCTCCCTACCCTAAAGTAAATGTTCAGTGGTTCCACAACTCTTGCTGTTGTTTTGGTATGTATGTATGTAAAAAGACTTAAATCATTTCTCCTTTAACTAGGCTTTTATGAAGGTTACTTTTTCCTTGTCCATAAAGTAAAAATTAGGGAAATAAAATCTAGAATATTAATCTAAGCCATCTTCCTCAATCATCTGAGTAGTTTTAAAATCTTTTCTTGATATTTCTTCAAAAGATTTGATGTGTTAGTATTGAATTAAAAAATCTTGCTGAACCATTTATACTGTTTACAGAAGTACAGTTAAAGAATCAAAAGTGCATGGCTCAGAGAGTGATGTTTGCATATATATGATAGGATGAGAAAGGACAGAACTATGTGTGAGAGAGGCAAGAATGGAAAGATAAATATGATCTCTGGCTGGTAGATAGACAGGAGGGTGGAATAGGGTGGAAAAGAAGAATGATCAGAGAAAAAACTAAGGGCATACCTGACTAGAAAGAATTAATTTTGGTGTAAGTAGCAGACAATAAACTTCAGTTTCATACAAAGCATTTTAGGTAACTGGTGATGCACCACTTTTGAAGGCAGTTGGTAGAAAAGGATAGGTAACGGCAAATATAAAAATGTCATGTGCTTAGCGTTGAATACAGATCCAAGTCTAGTATCCTGCCATTGCATCAGTGGATGACTGTTAAATTTTGTTCATTTTGACTTAGCATTTGTCTACTTTCTTGGTTCTTGAATGAACTAAAAATGTAGAAAAGTGGTACTTGGAACTGAGTCATTTAATCTGGAACTAATTTGGAGTCACTTGAAGCAGTTAGGAGAATTACTTGTAGACGAGGTATCTTAGTGAGTTTAGGTTGCCATAACAGAACACCATGTACTGTGTGGCTTATAAGACAACAGAACTTTACTTCCCACAGTTCTGAAGGCTGGAGTTTAAGATCAGGTGCCAATTTGGTCAAGTTCTAGTGAGGCTTGTCCTCTGGGTTGCAGGCAGCTGTTTTCTCATTGCATCCTCACTTGGTGGAGAGAGAGCTCTCTGGGACTTCTTTTTATAGAGCACTAATCCCATTCATGAGAATTTCATCTTTATGACCTAGTCATCTGCCAAATGCTCCACCTCCTTGTACTATCATCTTAGGGATTAGAATTTTAACATGAATTTGGGGAAATACAAACGTTCAGTCCATCACACCCGATCAGTTGAATAAACTGCTGATTGAAACAGGCTGCTGCTTTTACCACCCACCCCTCCTTGCATCAGTCCAAGGGTGTGTCTGAACCATTTAATGAAAAGAGGGAGGACTTTTTTCCTGTTATGTCAAATAGTAAATCTTTCTGTTACATTATGAAATTTATAGTGTATAATTTTCTCACATTCTTTACAAAACAAAGCTTAACATATTGCTAGCTCATAAACTATTTTTGCTGTTTCAACTTTTTTCTCATACACCATTCTATATTTACCTGTAGTCTTTACTAATACAAAGACTATTTTCCTGCATTAGTGTCTTTTAAAAGAGAAACAGTTTGAATCAGAAAAGGTTGAGGATTGTTAGTCTGTAACCTTATTTGTGAATGTGATACAGTGTACAAATGTACCTACATATGTTTAAATATTCGGGCCAGTTCAGACATGATCTTTCTAAGGCTTGTAATAAGAGCTTTTACTCTTGATGTTTCAAACCAAGAAAATAGTTACAAGTGATGTCTCCAGTTAAAATGCATCTGCTTTTCTAGAATGCTTAACATCTTTATTGGGGTCTGTATTTACAAAGGATTCTCTAGCCCTAATAACTAATGTGCATAAAGACACTTTATAATAAAATGGTAAAATATAGGAGGTTTTATTCAACAGAAGTAGTTGAAAATGTTTTATTTGTGTAAACCATAAATGTTTTAAATGTGTTTGCTGAAGCAAAAGGTGGTCTCATAAAGGAAAGGAAAGCCACTGTGACTCTTGTTGACCTTTTCCCAAAATGGCACTGCAAAACTAGGCATTAGCCAAAAGGAAGGGATAAAAATACATTGTACTAATGTCATTTCTTTACTGCTTGGACTTGGAACATTAATGGCAGAGCGTACTCCCCTGGATGCAAGTAGGTTCCTTAATTTGTGGTACAGTAGGGTTAAGGTATACCTGTTGTTGAATAAAGCCCTCTCCCTCAAAAGAACTGTTTGGTTGTTTTGGTCTTGGTTGTGTCCAAATTAGCAAACTAAGGTAATTGTTTACAAAATTCATTGAGTTCTATTTTTTTTTTCTTTTTCGGTAGCCCATTTCACTGTGGAATGCCTTGAAATATTAGCTGGAACTCACTGTATGTAGTATTTATAAATAAAACAAGTACTTCCGAGTGTGGAAGTCTTTCTCCATGCTTGGGTTCAGGCTCTCTTGGTATGGGAAGGAAGAAAGTTGACTTTCCTCTCTTGCATATACACAACCCAGGGCAAAACAACGCACACTTGTTTTGAACCTTACAGTCCATATAAAGCAAATCATCTCGCTCTGAGATGTACAACTGAATACGTACATAGGTCTCTGCTGAATGTTTTTTGCTGAGGTATTTTTATGCAGCAAGGAATCCAGAATTTAAAGTACACCAGGATTTGTGAAAATGAGTATTCTAAACTAAAGAACAGATTAGAATGATTAAATATAGGCAATATTTTGTATACCTGTATAAAATCTGGGAAAGCCGAGCTAGGATTAGCAGTCAGGAAACATGCTTTACAATGGCTTCATTCAGATGTGTTGGGTTGATGTACAAATAGCTGAAAGTATTGCTAGTTTTCATTAAAAGAATTATTTTTGTCATAACTTTTCATTAACTATGTATATGTGTAAATATCTTTGTTTTCTGCTTATTGGAACAGGAAGAGTCAGTGCAGTTTCCATAATGTTTATACTGATAAAGGAGATTTCACTGGCCCAAACAAGCTAATTCTGGAGAGGCTTAGACATGATTTGGTAGGCTTATTTAGCTTCTCAATTTGCTTACCACTGTGCACATGTGAGGTCTTCCCTGTAGCTCAGTTGGTAAAGAATCTGCCTGCAGTGCAGGAGACCCGGGTTCGATCCCTGGGTTGGGACGATCTCCTGGAGAAGGAAATGGCAAACCACTCTGGTATTCTTGCCCGGAAAATCTCATAGACAGAGGAGCCTAGCATGCTACAGTCCATGAGATCACAAGAGTCAGACAGGACTTATTTCATTAATCTGCTTTATATGAGTTTGTGTGCAAGGTGTTGTGGTTCTGCTAGGTACTATGTTTCCCTCTTCTTTAGCCACCTTTATTTCACATAATTCGTATTCAAGATTTGAGCTTTATTTGACCCATTCTGAAGACAGCAGGTACCAGAAATACAGGTTACTCAGGTATTTGTCATTTACAAATTATGAATTGTTCTTTTATATATCTTGGGTTTTTCTTTTTATCTAAGCACATATTTTTCTCTCTTTTTCCAACCCCCAATCTCTTTCCAGGGCGTGATTGACTACATTTTCTATTCCAAGACTCATATGAACGTGCTTGGTGTCCTGGGGCCTTTAGATCCTCAATGGCTGGTTGAGAACAACATCACTGGGTGTCCACACCCTCACATCCCTTCAGACCACTTCTCACTGTTAACACAACTTGAACTCCACCCTCCACTCCTGCCTCTTGTCAATGGTGTTCACTTGCCTAACCGGAGGTAGTGGAGTACTACCCCGCCACGACGGGGATCTGTTGCTATGGACCTGTACAGTTGTAAATCAAAGTATGTAGGAGTGAAGTATGGCCATCCTTAAGCTGCTTCTTCAGGTTCCTTTCATTATGTGTTTGCTATAAGATTTTGTACAATTTTGTGCATATTGGTATCATTTGGCACTAGGGCTGGAACCAAAGTATTACTGTTTCCAAATTTTTGATTTAACATGTTTTTAAGTTGGACTGTCTTCATATTATATTAAGAGTCAGCATTCATAATTGATAAATCACCAGTTCAAGGCCCAACAACAAATATATTTGTTTTTCCAAAACAAATACTTTGTTTCGAATGTTTTCCAGTGAGCCAACCATTTTTCATCTTTGTGAAAGGCAGTTTTTAAGACTATAAATGTGAGATTTTAAACTGATGGTATGCCTTGCAGGAAACTTTCTTGAATTTGTTTTCCATAACAAACTGATTTTTGGCTCCCCAGTCATTTGCACATTAACAAAGCACTTATATTTGCTAGATCTGTACATAAACTAGCCATAATGAGAAAAATTGAGAAATTAAAGATGATTGCACAGTATGCTTTAAAAAATCAAGCATTTAACAGCACACAATTTGTTGGGCAAGCACTGGTTGATTTTCTTTTGTTTGTTTTGATTTTTGAGTAATCATTCTGTATTTTGTTCCCCTATTAGTTATAACCTTACTAGAAATATTAATTCTAAGCCTGTCTCTCCAGTTTATTTATAGGAAAACAACGGGTAATTTCTACTGCCGCACATCTTGAAAACAGAATTTGGCCTATATAGGATGCCCCTAAAATTAGTATCCAGTATTTTTTTTTTTTTAAATTTCCATCCACCCTTTTCTGCCTGGTTGTGCTGGAAAAACAGATGATATATGATCTGTTTCATTTTTGCTGTTATGGGCATATGTTAAAAGAAATAACTACTGAATGAAAAGGCCCTCATCAAAGTTTTAGAGGTGGAAAGCTATGCAGATATTTCACGTGTCACAAAGTAGGTCAAGTGGCTGTTGGTTTTGGCTTTTTGAGGTGACAATGGAAAGGATTTGGGGGGGAGAGAGAGAACAGGGAGTAGTTGAAAACCTTGAATCATTTTTCCTGACTCTAGTTGCCAAATGGCCGTTATATGCTTTTAATCTTTGTTTCTGTTGTCTGTCAGGGTTGAATTAAGAAGCTACTGGTTTATTCCCAACTATTGATAATGCTCTTTAGATACGTTGGAATCCTTTTTTCGCCCAGGAGGGGCCAGTTGAAAATCTGTGACTCGAGGCAGTGAACGCAATACCATTTTCTGGGGGAAAAATTGGTTGGCTACTTGATGTTAATTATGGCACAGTAACAGGAAAAGGTTGTGTCTGTGTTTTTAAGTTTTTCTTTATTCTGCTTTTTTGCTGCTATAAGAGTTTTCTGAAATTTATATTTTAAACTTTTCATGCACTTTACTGTTTCTAGTCTCAAAATGTGATATTTTTAATAAACAAGAAATTTTCCATTATGTGAATGAAATTTTAAAAGAAAATAGCCTATATTTGTGTCTCACTAATATATAAAGTACAGGTCAAATTTAAATTATTTAATTAGTTTTAAATATATACAATTTGTCTCCTCTTTGAAACCTGACATCTTAGGCTGTTTTATTAGTCTTAAATGATGCATTTCCTTTGGTCATTTTATACTAATTTCTTCCGTAGTAAATTAATCAGGCTACATATGATAATATCTCCCCTGAAGGGTAATTTTAGTGGGACAAGGGTGGTGGGATGATGTGATATCAGATATAGGATTGCATCAGAAGGGTTCTGTAAAGCCTAAACTCCCTTTTAAAAGTGCCTAGTGACAGAGGCGTGGTTTGTCATCTATTATAATTGGAATGTCATTGTAGTTGAGTGAAGTTTGATGTAAATAAAATATTCTTTTAAAAATATCAAGATACCAGAATAAACAAACAAAATAAACAACCCTTAAGATGACAGATTTTCCTCAGTGTGCAGGTATCCCTTCTTATATACCTCAAGCATTCAACATCTAGCCATGCAAATTGATTACCTGAAGCATAGTACTGGAAAGTAGAATAGCATGAAAAACTTAATTTTGTGGACATTACCTTTTTTTGTAATCAGCTACTGTATGTTTTATTTTTATCTCTTGTTTTGGGTGGGTTTTCTGCTCTGGAGGTATATGCACTAACTAATACATTTTCCTCTTCTCATATACGCATGTTAATTAGCAATGTGAGCAATATTTCTTACCATACTTCACTCCCGATATTTTTTGAGATGTTTGTATAAAATGGAATTTAAAGTTCACTTATGATTGTATATGAACCACAGAGGAGCCCATTTATTAATAAAAAAACTTTTTTAATAGTTAAATGTAGAGGGAAAAATAAAAAAAAATTGGGAAACATTGTAAACAGCTTAAGTTTATTTTGTGTATGATCGAGGCACTCTGTTGCAGGAAGGTGTGTAATTGGGTTCTCTCTGCTTCCAAATGCACTCTTTCAAACCATTCATTATCCTGTGTATTTTTAATGTGGTTTTAGTAAATGTTGGTAGTAGCTCTGTTGAAGTAGGTAATTGTGTTATGTTTTGGGTGGCAAACACGTGGGGCATGGTAACCCAAATTTCTTGTGCACGGTTTCCCTTGAGCCCACTGCCCAAATTTCACACACCCTTCACCCCTTTGTTCCCTTTGTAAAAGGAGTGGTATCTGTTTTGAGCTGCCAATTCAGATGATCAGAAATGCTGCTCCCCTCAGTATTGTCTTGTTGAAAACGCATGCCATTTGGAACCTTGGCATGAGAAGCCAAAAGGAAGAGGTGAATGACATATGGTATATATTCAATGAAAGTAAAATATTTATGCTCATATACTTTCTGGTTCTCAGAATAAGTTAATAAGCTTTATGCCATGGGACTGCTGCATATTTTATCTGAAGGTTAAAGAAAATTTGGGCATTTTTAGATTGTGATAATGTTTTATTTTTTTAAACTGTTAAATATGATTTCTGATATCTGTCTAAGAACTGGAGTGTTCTTTAAATTTATCAAAACAGTGTTGTTTGAGGAAGGGAAAACTGCACTGTTTGCCATTATAACAGTCATACAAGTGCATGTCACGTCACCCACTCTCTCAGGCATCAGTATCCGCCTCATAGCTTTACATATTTTGATGGGGAAATCTTGCAGCATCCTCAGGACTGACATCTGAGAAAGGCTCAGATCCACTTACTGCTCCTTGCTTGTTGACTTTGTTTTAAAATATTGTGCCTGGTGTCAACTTTTAAGCAACAGCACTGCCTAAAAGCAAGCAGAGAACAGAATCCCAGCACCATTCTATAGGCAACTTTTTAGAATTCAGATATAGTAAATCTGTTCAAGATTTATGATGTTTTATGTAAAAAAAAATTTTGTACAATGTAGCTGAATATTTTTGTTTCATTTCTTTGATGTAAGGCGTGTGAACGTTCGTTTGAATATCACATGTTAAAGTCAGGTATGGCACAATGGGTTCTGAGACCAGCTTTTCCTCCCTCCCATTTGCCTTGTTCCAAGCTCTTTCTTTTCAAATTACTTTTCTGATGGTCATAGGCAAATATTTAATTTTACTAATAAGCATCCTGTGTGAATGTATTAAAGAAGCCACTGTGTTTTTAGTGTTATAGTTTGCAGAAATATAAAGCTTCATTTCTTATTTGTCCCTATTCTTTGATAAAAGTTATATATTCAACCATGTTAAAGTTATATATTAAATCAGAGAAGTGAGGGAGAAAGTTGAAAGATACTGAAGGCTCATATCACTTGATTCTATGGTAGGTTGTATTAGGACTGAGGGTGTGACACATTGAAACTGGAACATGGGCAAACATACAGTGTTCCATTTTAAAGTTGTATCTCCTAAGTATATACTTTAAGTGGGTGAAAAATTAAGTTTGTTTTTGCATTTCTGAGAGCTTCTAAAAATCACTAGTGCCAACTACACTTTGAAATCAAAAAGCAAGGAATAGAGAAAGCACAAGAAAAAAATAGGTTAAATGTGTTCTTCGAGAGAACCAGAGGCACAGGGTTTGGCATTCCTAATCCAAGGCTAGATTTTCTAGCGATAAAAGTCAACTGTGTCCCAATACTTATTTACTTTGTTTCTAAGGCCTTATGTTCTGAGTTTCTGAGGGATTTTAATCGCTTTATAAAATGTACTGGCTGATAGTAGCTTCAGTCACAAACAGCATCATCAGTTTCTGATACATTTGGCAGACCATAACAGTTTCATAGCAGGCAAAGACTTTATTGCACATTTTCAAAATAGCACTCATATATACTTAGTTTGACAGAAGTGTGAATTCTCACGATTGTAAGGTAGTCTTTCTCTTCCACCTGTCCTCTCCCTTTAAAAAAAAAAAATCACCTTTCTAATGTGTGGAAGATTTAACTTTTTCCTTCTGAGTTGTATCATGTTTCTAAAACTCTGTGAATTACAGGTTAATACATTAACTAGGGAAATTAGAGTATTTTTCTAAGCCAGGAACTTCAATTAAAGTTTTGAATTTGTAGACAGAGGAGAACTTTTATACTTACGGTTGCTTTGAGTGACTGTAATTTTTTTTAACGGCATCATGATCACTAAATTTGAATTCCAGCACAAATTAGTACATCTTACCCTGGCCTATTTACCAAAATTGTAATCTGTTCAGGAGCATGGTGCCAAAAGCATCTTGGATTTTACAACATGATACATGTTTATTGTGTGTCTACCTTTGAGCTTAAAAGAAAAAAGTTCTTTGTACTGCAGGATGTTTTGAACAAGATCCACAGAAAGGAAAAAAAAAAACAGTTCTTTTCAGGAAGGTAGTAAGTAGACATGCATGTTTCTTGTTTTTAACCAAATACCTTCTTTGTGTAAGTTTCTCTGTTAAACAATCACAAATTCTATAAGAAAGGGAGATTTCAGGGAAAGCAAGCATCATTAGCCTAGTCA